GGTTTAACCATGACATCCTCCCAGTATCAGGGTTCTTTTCTTATCTACAAAGTCTGTTTTAGCCAGTAACATATTCAAAGACACTGGAAATGAGGAAGTAAACTTTTTTTTAGGTTTTCGTCATAGGACATGTGTGTTCACCAGAGAGAGAGAGGCAGAGAGAGATGGTAAGAGTGAAAGTGAGAAATTACCCCCGCCCAGGAGGAATGGCCACACCACAATCCCTTCTCCTCCATTTTCTTGGGATTTGGACACACGTGCACACGTGCCCGGCATGATTTTCAAGCTGTCAGGTCCAGGACTTGAACTACTGTCAGCCCTATGGGAGTCCAGTGCCTTAACTACCACACCACCTCCTGGTCTTGGGAGTGGACTTTTAAAGAGGCCCCTATTCTGTGCAGCATAGCTCCGAAGCCATGTTATCATCATCATCCCCTGCAAACCACAGGTGTCCATCTGGGCTAAAACATCCTGACTGTAGATGACATCCTCCTCTCACGATGATGTCCCCAGCATTTCCTGAGAGAGAGACTGAGGCCAGTCCGGGCCTCCCATTACCTCTCCACCTTCTTCCTGATGATAATGTCTAGTTATTACGAACAGAAGAAAGCCAGCTTACTGGAAGGTCACAACTCACAGGTTCGTCAAGCATTCACAGTCGTCTGCACCACAGATAGTGTCTCAGGGACCCTCCCTCCTGGGCACAGCAGAGAGGACATATCAGAAGGGATTACTGGAAAGCCTCCTGTTTCTACTCTGCCCAGAAAACACTTCCAGGGAGAAAGGCTGTTACAGGGACGGTCTTACTTCTCGCTACTCTGTAAACTGTGAGCCCTCTGCGTGTGTCCGGACATTGGACTGCTGGCACGGCCGCTGCAGCTCCCTGTCCAGCAGGGTGCTGCTCCAGAGCGTGACCTCAGGAAGGTGAGTTGGCTCTGGCTTCACAGTGAGATTCCCAGACCCTGAAACTTGGGTCACTGTCTTCCAACCACACAGTGGGAGCTTTTCATTAACTCATAACCCCTGTGCCTGACCTTAAACCTACACCCACCACCCAGCCTGTACACCCCTGAGCATAGCCCTTATTTCCTCAACCCCCAGCTGAGTCCCTGGCACCCTCCCAGCTCCTCCGGGCCCAGCTCTCTCTTTCCTAGCAGAACAAGTGATAATCCCAAAGGACAAGTGGAACTTAACGATCTGTCTCACAGGGAGGGCCCAGCTGCCCTCATGGGAAAGAAACAGACTGGGACCCTCACGGTCACCTTCATCTTCCTCATTCCCACTGTATCCCACCCATAGTGGCAGGTCTTTTCCCATGGACCCAGCCCTGTCCTTTTAGGGACAAAGATCCAGCCTGCCAATCACACACCATCACACTATTCAGGAGGCCCAGTGTAAGGGTCCCTTGTGTGCAAGGGGTCCTCCCCTACCTTGTGAGGGGAGGGATCCCTCCTCATGTCCTGCATCGAAGCAGCCACCATGGTCCTCATTTCCCTGTCTTTCATATCTGCTGTCTCTCTCCTGGTTACCTTTATCACCTCTCCTGGACACGGTCACAGGTGGGATTGAAGCTCTGGTAGGACCATGCTTCTGGGGGCCCCAGTCTGATCTATGATGCAAAATTAGCACATACAACATTTATACAATAGTTTATATGTTTACCTCACAATTTTTAAAAAATTGTTTACTTATTTATCTATTTATTTGTTGTGATTTTCAAGCCATCAGGTCTGGGACTGAACCGTGGCCGGCCATGTGGGAATCCAGTGCCTTAACCACCATACCATGTCACCTGCTAGTCCCATGATTTTTTTTTAAGAGTTATTTATTTTGGGGGTCTGGCAGGTGGCATGGTGGTTGGGGCAATGGACTCCTATGTGTCTGACTACAGTTTGAGACCAGAACCTGGTGGCTTGCTTTCTCATTTTCCTTCTCTCTCTCTTTCTCTTGTCTGCTTCTCCTTCAGGAATGCATGTGCACTATAACAAGCAAAATAATAATAATAACAAATAAAATTAAATTAATAATATTTTTAATATTATTTTAATTTAACCAGGGAGAAAAAGGGAAAGTGTGAAAGCAAGCTACCAGATCCAGGCCTTGAACCATGGTCCACTATGTGGGAGTCCAGCGCCATAACCACGCCACCTGCCAACCCTTACTTCACAATTTAATCCACACACCCTTTGATCATTAATCCCATGAAGAAGAGCCTCCTCTGGGGAACGGACTGTGGCAAAGTAGTAAAACGCGACGCTATGTGAGGCTGACCCATGTGGGAAGGTTCTGGGTTCATGTCCAAAGACCTTGGGACTGCCAGGCACACATGTACAGGTGACTCTACAGCTACATTATTTCAGACTGTCACATAAATAGAATCATGTAATATGCATTCTTCTGGTATTGGCCTTGTTCACTCAATGTAACTCCTTTGAGCTTCATTCAAGTTATTGTACATATTAAGAATTCACCTCCATGGGACCAGCAGTTAGCATAATGGCTATGTCACTGGACTCCCACATAGTCGACCGCGGTTCGAGTCCCGTACCCAGTGGCTTAGACTCACGCCGGGCGTGTGTGCATGCGTGTCCAAGATCCCGAGAGGAGAACGGAGGAGAAAGGATTGCGGCATGGCCATCCCCTCTGGGGGGGGGGATTTCTCGCTTTCTATCTCTCTGTCTCTGTCTAGCTGGCGAGCGCACGTACCCTATAGCAAAAATGGTAAGGTGGTTAAGGCACTGGACTCTCACATGGCCAACCACTGTTTGAGTCTCATTCCTGGTGGCTTGAAACTCACACCAGGCAGGTATGTGTGCATGCCCAAAATCTCAAGAGGAGAGTGGAGGAGATGGCCTTCTCCCTGGGGGCAGGGAGGGGTGATTTCTCACCTTCCCTCTCTCTCTCTGGAGAGTTTTTGCCCTATGGCAAAAAACATTTTTTTTCAAATAATTCGTCTCCTTTTATTACTGACCAGTATTTTATGGTAGTACTATTTCACCGTTCAGCCGCTGAAGGACATGAGTCATCTCCAGTTATTAGCTAGTACAAGTAAAGCTACTATGAACATTTGCGTAAAAGTTTCCATGTCAAAACGGGTCTTCCTTTTCCTAGGATAAATGCCCAAGTGCAATTGTTGAGTCTGATAAGTCCATTTTTAGTTTTAAAATGAATTTCCACAATATTTTCCAGAGCACCTGCATCATTTTACATCCCCACCAGCAAAGTATGCGTGATCCAGGCTCTTCATGTCCTCTCCAGCATTTGGTGTTATCACTTTTTATTTTAGCCATTCTGATAGATACCCAGTGATTTTTTTTTTTTTTTGGAGAGATTTTCACTGTAGGGCACGTGCGCTCGCCAGACAGAGAGACATAGAGACAGAAAGCGAGAAATCACCCCCCAGGGGGGATGGTCACGCCGCAATCCCTTCTCCTCCATTCTCCTCTCGGGATCTTGGGCACGCACGCACACGCGCCTGGCGGGAGTTTTAAGCCACCGGGTCCGGGACATGAACCGCGGTCGACTATGTGGGAGTCCAGCTACATAGCCATTACGCTAACTGCTGGTTCCCGATACCCAGTGATTTTTCAGTGTGGTTTTAATTTGTATTTCTCCAACAGCTAATGTTCTTGAACACCTTTTTATGTGCTCATTTGACACCTGTATATTCTCTTTGATGAAATGTTTATGCATGTCATTTGCCCATTCTGTTCGTTTGCTCACCTGGACAGACAGAGAGGAAAAGAGAAAGTGAGAAATCACCCCTACCAGAGTTATTACCATGCTGCAATCCTTTATCTTCCATTCTCCTTTCAGGATTTTAGGCACGCATGCACACACACCAGGCGTGTTCTCAAGCCGCTGGACTGTGACTCAAATGCCAAAGCCGGCCACATTGGATCCAGCCATTTTAACCTCCACACCACCTGCTGGTTTCACTCACCCACTTTCTAAATGGATTTTTTTTTTTTTTTGAGAGGTTTTCGCTATAGGGCGCGTGTGCTCACTGTAGAGACGGAGAGAGACAGAGAAACAGAAAGTGAGAAATCACCCCCCCCCCGGGGGGATGGCCACACCACAATCCATTCTCCTCCATTCTCCTCTCAGGATCTTGGGCACGCACACACATACACCCAGCATGAGTTTAAGCCACTGGGTCCAGGGGGGACTCAAACCGCGGCTGATTACATGGGAATCCAGCAACATAGCCATTACGCTAACTGCTGGTCCCTCTAAATGGATTTTTTAATGTTGAGTTTTGAGCATTCTTTATATATACTAAACATAAGTCTTTTGCTCGATATCTGACTTGCAAACATTTTCTCTCAATCTAGAATTTGTCTTTTTATCTTCTTCACAAGTTTTTTACAGATAAAAATATTTTAATTTTTATGTGGTTCAATTTATCAATTCTTTTTGTGGATCAACTTTCTGGTGTCAAGTCTAAAAACTAGTTGTCTTTTTTTTTTTTAAGAATTATTCCATTTAACTTTATTTATGTTAATTTGACCAGAGAGGGACAGAGAGAGAGAGGGAGGGAAAGTGAGAAAGCAAGCCACCAGGTCCCAGACTTGAACCAGGGTCAGCCATGTGGGTCCAGCAACCTTAACCACCAAGCCACGTGGCACCCCCTAATTGCTTTGACTCTAGTCCTGAAGATTTTCTACTTTTTATCCAGAAATTTTATAGTTTCACATTAAAGTCCATGATTCATTTTTAGTTCATTCTTGTTAAAGATGTAAAGTTTAGGCTGAAACCCTTTTTTCTTTCTTTCCAGGAAAAGGTAGAAACTCAACCAGGCTCTCATAATCAGTAGCTGAACCCAGGCCCCCAGAGGAAGGGGAAGGAGAAAAAGAATAGCTGAGTTCCCTCTGATTGCAGGGCATAATGCTATCACTCAGCCAGCATCCTCTTCTACCAGGCTCCCTGCCTCCCTGGACACGGTGGCTCCTCCTCACAGCTTTATGCCTCCACGCTCTCATGTACCACAGAACAGAACAGAAAAGTAAAACTGTGACTTTATTTAGTGATGTGAAGGGGTCTGGGTGCTTAATCTAGCTAGACGGTCCATTCCTGAAGGCAAGCAGGAAGCCTAAGAGGATGCCCCAAGCAGGACCCCGACTAGAGAGCCCTGCACCAACAATCTGGGACTTCTCTAAGATGTTGAGGACCTCGGTTACTCGGATGCTCCCAATATACTGAAAATCTTCTAAAAGCTTCTGATATCCACGAGCACAGCCCATGAGGAGGAAGGTGCTATTGAGATTCCCTGTAAGGAAGAGAAGGAAGAGTCAGGGACACTTGAAGACTAAAGACGACTGCCTCTTCCCGGAGGCCCCCCACAAACCAGGACGCCTGCTCTCCAACCAAGCATTAGGCACCAGGTGCCTCACCCCTTCCTCACTGGAATTCATATGCCTGGTCACCTGTTATACCAACCCCATCTCCAGACCCCACCAGCCTCTCTGAGATGTGAAGGCACTAGACAGTCCCTGGCATAGAGTGGGCATTTGATAAACACAGTTCCTCTCACCTGCCTGAAATCTAAAGGTGGAACTGTAACACGTAGTAGCAGCCTGGGGGCAAGGTTCTGAGGTAACAAAATTCGGGAGGCATTCCTTAATGTGCCCACCCACACAGGTCGGACAGCTATGGGAAGAAACTCCTATAGATTTGGGAGCGTTGCCCCTGAGTTTCACAAAAGGCTCCAGGTTGGTGAGGTTGTTGCAGAGATATCTCCGGCAGATGCGGCTGTAGGAGGCAATGGACACTCCAGGTGGAGAAACAAGGTAGGAGATTTGTGCAGGGTAAGATGCGGCTGAGCTGCAGCCTTTAAAACCCACAACTCCCCTTGCAGTCCCTGAGGAGCAGAGGATGAAGGAGATCTGATCAGTGCTGTTGGCCTCAGCCAGAGCCCACTCCCTCTCCCTCCTTCCCTTCTGTTATCAGCAACTTTAGCTCTCCCCCGGCTGCACGGAGCTCAGATGCAAGGGTCTCCATCTGTCTCCTCGTTCCTGTCTCTGCAGAAGCCCCTTGGCTCCTTTCCCTTGTGTCCCGTCCTTTTTTCCCCCATATTGTGCCCCTCACCCGGGGATCTCCCCACCTCCATTCTGCTCTCTCACCCAGTCTACAACACAACCAACTGGGTCCTGCCACTGCCAGTGTCCTGACATTATCCCCAAGCATAGACTGCGGTAAATAACTGGAACTCCAGTCCAAGGTGGTGGGAGTGGAGTGGGGGGTCAGGAGAGTGAGCAAACAGGAACGTGTCAACCCTACCCCATTTCACCTGTCTCAATGAACACCAGCGTCTCCTCGCAGCCCTCTTTCAGCTTACACACCATGCTCCTCATCAGAAGCCACTTCCAGTTGTGGAAGGCAACAGCTCTGAAGAGTGAGGCCGTTGCTTCATAGCACAAAAGAGCTCCAGTCCCTAAACAGAGAGTGCTCTTCCAGTCATCTCTCCCTCACATCACATTTGTCATCCCCAAACTGGCAACCAAGAGCCTGGCCTCCACAGGTCCAGTCCCCCAAGGGACCTAGATATCCAGCCCTCCTTCTCCCAGTGCCACAAATCCAGCCTCCCACCTTTTGGGGTCTTATAGCATCCAGCCCCACAGGACATACGAGGCAGAGTGGAGAAGGCCCCTAGGAGACAGAGAAGCTGCACAGGTTTCAAATGCTGGAGTCCCATAGTCCTGTGTGGAGGTTCTGGATCCCCAGGGTCAGTCCGGAGCCAATTTCAGTCTAAGTCTCAAGCTCCGCTCTTGTCAGTCGCTGAATTCTTTTTCCACCTGCCTCTGGGTCACTGTTTCTGGAGCAGAAAGTTGATTACATCAGTTTTTGTGACATAGGCCCTGAGACCTTCAGGGACATAGGTCTTCCCATCTCTGTCTCTAACCTACAACCCATACATTAGCTTCTCAAGATACAACTCTCGGGGACCAGCAGTTAGCGTAATGGCTATGTCGCTGAACTCCCATGTAATTGACCGCAGTTTGAGTCTCGGACCCGGTGACTTAAATTCACACTGGGCACGTGTGCGTGCATGCCCAAGATCCTGAGAGGAGAATGGAGAAGGGATTGTGGCGTGGCCATCCCCCCTGGGGGGATGATTTCTCACTTTCTATCTCTCTCTCTCTGTCTTTCTGGCGAGCGCACGCGCCCTATAGCAAAAACCTCTAAAAAAAAAAAGATACAACTCTCATTCTCCCACCTATATCTTCCCATTGGACACGGTTCTGGGCAGAGCATGTTGACTTAGCCAAATGATCACTATTACACAGGCTGTACTCCAGCCAGAGGCAATGAGATCAGATCAACTGGAAGCTTAAAATTCCCATCCGTGTGTATGTGTGTGTGCGTATGTGTAAGCCAACCAACATATTACCCAATAACCCTTGGTTCAATATGGAAATTAACAAGTATTTGGAACTGGATGCTAATAAACATACTACATATCACACATACACACAAGCGCATGTAAAATCTACTGAAACTATGATAGTTAAGAATACTGTCAATTTCTTGCTCATATGTTACAATTACATAAGGTGTCCACATGAGGGAGCTAGAAGAAGGATTCACTGTACTATTGCAATTTCTTGCTAGTCAGTAATCACTTCAAAATCAAAAACTTTCTTTTTTAAACTATATGTTAAAATTTGGGATACAGGGGCCAGCAGGTGGTTAAGGCACTCAACTCCCACATGGCCTACTACAGTTTGAGTCTTGGACCTGGGGACTTGCTTTCTCACTTTCTCTCTTTGTCTCCTGACCTATAGCAAATTATAATAATAATAAAATTAAATAGTTATTTTCAAAATAAGTCAAGAGAATAATAAACAACAACTATTATTACAAAAAAAAAAAACCCTGACATTTATTTTTTAAAAGATTAATAAAGCCTGGGCATGATGACACAAGTGGGAAGATGCCACTACACAGTGACTGAAGTCACATGGTAGGCCCAACCTAAAAAAGCCAGGCACAGTGGGGAGTGCCTGTGGTCCTAGGTAACCGGAAAGCTAGGGCAGGAGAATCATGACATGGTGACATGGTGAGAACATGTCAGAAAACACCCTTTTCATGCACTTACTTGCTCTCTCTCACTTAATAAGGTAGGTCTCCAGCAAATATGATAAAAGAATGAAAAATGAGAATACACATCAAATAATAAAATTATCTAAGGAGAAGGGATTGCAGCATGATCACACCCATCGAGTGGCTTTCTCTCATGTACGCATGTGCACACGTGTAAGAATCCACACCCTATGCAAAACTAGAAAATTATAAATAGGACAAAAAATTAAGTAGAAAGATCACGTTCAGCCTCTTCAACTGACATTTAAGCCTCCCTGTTGCCCACCAATCCCACCCCACCCTAGATTGGCCCCAAACAACCTTTCCAGCTTCAGCTCCCCTGCACAGCAGTCCAGCTAAAGGTCACTTTTGTGCTCGCTTTCTGTCTGGAAAGCCACAGGCACACAGCTCTGTAACTCGGAAATCTGTGGCAAAGGGGCCTGCAGAAAAGGACAGTGGCAGGAGAAATGAAGGCTGACAAAGGATTACACCGTTAGGTCAATCAAAGAAGATGGCACACCCCAGCCCAGGATGCAAAACGACAGAACCCAACAATCTGGGTTCCAGATACAACCAGAAAAGATAGAAAGGAAATCGTCAAGGAGATAGGGACGGAGTGGTCAGAGAAACCTACAGAGGGGGAGCAAATCGGTAGAATGGAACCTTGCAGGGAGACAGAGCACCAGCAGGAAGAGCGCAAGCGGAGGGGCAGGAAAACGAGTGGGCACAGAGACGAGATTCTCAGGGGGCAAAAGAGTCCATCCCAGAGAGTGGGAGAGAAAAGGAGGCAGGGCAGGGTGCACAGACAATGGAGGACACACGGAGAAGACAGGGAGGGAAGGCGTGGGACGGGTCTACAGAGAAACAGAGAGACGGCGACAGTTACAGAGACCCCCACGAGGGGAAAGATCGGAAGGAGCTGCACACTGAGGGTGGAAAGGGTCAGAAAGACTACAGAGGTACCTGGGAAGCAAAAAAAGTGGGGAAGGGGGCCAGACTGTCAGTGAATAAAGCACGGAGAGAAAGTGGGTTCCACAATCAGCAGGACTGACAAGCAGAGAGCAAAAGAGAGGGAGGGGATGTCGCGTTTACAAAAATCAGAACTGACAGGCGCAAGAAGAGACACAGGGAAAGGGGCGCGGCCTGAGACGGCGGGACGCAGAAAGGGGAATCACAGAGTGAGAGAACACATAAAGGGAGAAGAGTAGCTGGAAATAAAGTCGGGGCACAGGAGAGAAATGAGAAAGCACAGCTATCCACACAGCCAGGACAACCCGCACAACGCAGGCTGAGCGCTCAGGCCAAAAGGGGGGGGTTGCGCATGCGCAGATGGGAACAAGTCAAAGCAAGGGGTGGGGCGAACAAGCAGTTCCTTGGGGGCAGGACCAGCCTTGGTCTGAGACTCATACTCGACGCTCCATTGGCTACTTCCCATTGGCTATCTCCCTTTTGACTACCTCCCATTGGCTATTTGTCTCAAAAGAAGGGGAACAGCCTGGAAGGCAAGCCACGGGGAGGCGGGTCCAAGAATCAACTCGACGCACTATTGGCTGGCTTGAGAGTCCTGATGGCAGAGGAGCCTTCTGAAGGGAAAAGGCGGCCGTCAGTGCAGGATCTCCAAGCTCATTGGTCGCCCACCTCCACGGCGGGAGGTGCTATTCGAAGCTCATTGGTCTTTGTGTGAAGGGGCGGGAAAAGCTGCGCGAGCGCAGCCGTTCCTCCTGCCACTCCTCACACAGTCCTGTGGTCGCTTCCTGACTTTGACTCTGCTCTCGAGGCTGTGGTAACCGCGGGCTGGCGGCATGAACATGACCCCTCCCCTTCCTGTCTCCTCTCCCACCCTCTTGCGCTGTCCCCCTCCCCCTGCCATGTCCTCACCTCCCCCTCGCGCCCTCGCGCCCTGGCACCCCTCGAACCCCTCGCGCCCCTCTTCTCCCCTCCCCCAGGCCGCAGTCCCTCAGCGCGCTCTGCGCTCTCCCGTGCCCCCTCCCTGGGACCCTGGAGCGGGAGGGCGGCCGGGCCAGACCTGGCCCAGTTGTTGGGGAGGGGGGCGTGAAAGTAATGGCTGCTGGGGGAGACTGCGGTTGGAGGGTGTGGAGTGGGGTTGCTTGAGATTAATTGTTGGAAACGGGCACAGAAGCTTGGCACTGTGGGTTTGGGCAAAAGCATGGGTGCGATGTGGCTGCAAGAGCCGAGTTGGTGCCCCGAAGAGACGGCGTTGGCCTAGCTCAGGGCACAAGGCAGGGGGGCTCAGTCTACATTTGTGGAAGGAAGGAGCGAGTGAAAATAACTATGGAAAGTGGGACAGCGAATTCATGGGAATCATATACTTCCCGAAGGGTGCGGGAGAGGGTTCTGATTAAGAAGGGTGCCGAACAAATCAGTCTGAAAGTGTCCAAGGAGGAAGCTGGGTCGCAGGACATAGACCAAGAATTGAAGGCGGGTATGAAGTCATTGTAGGAAGTGAGTTAGTGCAGGAGAGTAGGATGTTCATCGTCGGAGAGGATGCTGTGGAAAACTGGGATGGAACAAGGTGTTTGTGGAAAGGGGCTGCAGGAGTCGCCCAAGGAGGCATGAGCAGGCGTTGACTAGGACTGAAACAGATTTATGCGTGGGAAAGGGTGCAGATGACCCAAAGGGGATAGTGTTTGGGTTGAAAGAATGCATAAGAGGCTCGGGGGTTCGGGGAAGTGCCACTGTGGGATGCTGAGGCAGCATGGGAGGGCAGGTTTGGGTTCCAGGGCCAACCAACCGGGCCAGGTGCAGTGGGGCTCATCTGTGGGCCTAGCTAACTGGGAGGGTGGGGGCAGGAGGATGACACCATGGTGGGACCCTGAAAAAAAAGGTCTCTCTTTCTCTTTGCTTCATTAAGAAAAAAAGGAAGAAAAGATCGACTGTGGTTTGAATCCCAGACTCAGCAGTTTGAAAATCACACAGGGTGATTTTGGGCACGCATGCCCAAAATCCTGAGAGGAGAATGGAAAAGGGATTGTGGCGTGGCCATCCCTCCTTGGGCAGTGATTTCTCACTTCCTCTCTCTCTCTCTCTCTCTCTCTCTCTCTCTGGC